GCTGTGGTGTATAAGTTGTGTTGTGATGTATAAGTTGTGTGTTGTGGTGTATAAGTTGTGTGTTGTGGTGTATAAGTTGTGTGTTGTGGTGTATAAGTTGTGTGTTGTGGTGTATAAGTTGTGTGTTGTGGTGTATAAGTTGTGTACTGTGGTGTACAAGTTGTGTGTTGTGGTGTATAAGTTGTGTGTTGTGGTAAATAAGTTGTGTACTGTGTTGTATAAGTTGTGTGTTGTGGTGTATAAGTTGTGTGTTGTGGTGTATAAGTTGTGTGTTGTGGTGTATAAGTTGTGTGTTGTGGTGTATAAGTTGTGTGTTGTGGTGTATAAGTTGTGTGTTGTGGTGTATAAGTTGTGTGTTGTGGTGTATAAGTTGTGTACTGTGGTGTACAAGTTGTGTGTTGTGGTGTATAAGTTGTGTACTGTAGTGTATAAGTTGTGTGTTGTGGTGTATAAGTTGTGTGTTGTGGTGTATAATTTGTGTGTTGTGGTGTATAAGTTGTGTACTGTGTTGTATAAGTTGTGTGTTGTGGTGTATAAGTTATGTGTTGTGGTGTATACGTTGTGTACTGTGTTGTATAAGTTGTGTTCTGTGGTGTATAAGTTGTGTTGTGGTGTATAAGTTGTGTACTGTGGTATATAAGTTGTGTGTTGTAGTGTATAAGTTGTGTGTTGTGGTGTATAAGTTGTGTGTTGTGGTATATAAGTTGTGTACTGTGGTGTATAAGTTGTGTGTTGTGGTGTATAAGTTGTGTGTTGTGGTATATAAGTTGTGTACTGCGGTGTATAAGTTGTGTTGTGGTGTAAAGTTGTGTTGTGGTGTATAAGTTGTGTACTGTGGTATATAAGTTGTGTGTTGTAGTGTATAAGTTGTGTGTTGTGGTGTACAGGTTGTGTGTTGTGGTGTACAAGTTGTGTGTTGTGGTATATAAGTTGTGTTGTGGTGTATAAGGTGTGTGTTGTTGTGTATAAGTTGTGTGTTGTAGTGTATAAGTTGTGTGTTGTGTTGTATAAGTTGTGTGTTGTGGTGTATAAGTTGTGTACTGTGTTGTTTAAGTTGTGTTGTGGTGTATAAGTTGTGTACTGTAGTGTATAAGTTGTGTTGTATAAGTTGTGTGTTGTGGTGTATAAGTTGTGTGTTGTGGTGTATAAGTTGTGTGTTGTGGTATAAGTTGTGTACTGTGGTGTACAAGTTGTGTGCTGTGGTGTATAAGTTGTGTACTATGGTGTATAAGTTGTCTTGTGGTGTATAAGATGTGTGTTGTAGTGTATAAGTTGTGTGTTGTGGTGTATAAGTTATGTACTGTGTTGTATAAGGTGTGTGTTGTGGTGTATAAGTTGTGTACTGTGTTGTATAAGTTGTGTTGTGGTGTATAAGTTGTGTACTGTAGTGTATAAGTTGTGTTGTATAAGTTGTGTGTTGTGGTGTATAAGTTGTGTGTTGTGGTGTATAAGTTGTGTACTGTGGTGTATAAGTTGTGTACTGTAGTGTATAAGTTGTGTTGTGGTATATAAGTTGTGTACTGTGTTGTATAAGCTGTGTGTTGTGGTGTATAAGTTGTGTGTTGTGGTGTATAAGTTGTGTGTTGTGGTGTACACGTTGTGTGTTGTGGTGTATAAGTTGCGTACTGTGGTGTATAAGTTGCGTGTTGTGGTGTATAAGTTGTGTACTGTGGTGTACAAGTTGTGTGTTGTGGTGTATAAGAAGTGTGTTATGGTGTACAAGTTGTGTACTGTGGTGTATAAGTTGTGCTGTGGTGTATAAGGTGTGTGTTGTTGTGTATAAGTTGTGTGTTGTGGTGTATAGGTTGTGTGTTGTGGTGTATAAGTTGTGTTGTGGTGTATAAGTTGTGTTGTGGTGTATAAGTTGTGTGTTGTGTTGTATAAGTTGTGTGTTGTGGTGTAGAGTTTGTGGTGGTGTGTGTATACGTTGTGTGTCTGTGTTGGGTGTATGTGTTTGTGTATAAGTTGTGCGTGTTGTGTATGTGTAGGGTGTGTGTATAAGTGTTGTGTATATACGTTGTGTGTCTGTGTTGGGTGTGTGGTGTGTGTAAAAGTTGTGTTGCGAATATGCGTTGTGTGTAAAACGTTTGGTATAAAGTGTGGTATGTGTGTAAATATAAGTTGTGTGCCTGTATAAGTTATACATGTTGTGGGTATAAGCTGTGTATTGTCTCTATACAGTGCACACAATATGTAGTGTATTGTGTTGCGTGTGGAGCGTGTGGCGTGTTTGTTTTTATTCGCTGGAGCCGGTAGTTGGAAATGTGCGTGAGAGGTGTGAGTGTGAGTAGTGGTGAGCAGCTGTGAGTAGTGGTGAGCAGCAGCTGTGAGTAGTGGTGAGCAGCTGTGAGTAGTGGTGAGCGGCAGTGTGAGTAGTGGTGAGCAGCAGTGTGAGTAGTGGTGAGCGGCAGTGTGAGTAGTGGTGAGCGGCAGTGTGAGTAGTGGTGAGCGGCAGTGTGAGTAGTGGTGAGCAGCTGTGAGTAGTGGTGAGCAGCAGTGTGAGTAGTGGTGAGCAGCAGCTGTGAGTAGTGGTGAGCAGCAGTGAGTAGTGGTGAGCAGCTGTGAGTAGTGGTGAGCGGCAGTGTGAGTAGTGGTGAGCGGCAGTGTGAGTAGTGGTGAGCGGCAGTGTGAGTAGTGGTGAGCAGCAGCTGTGAGTAGTGGTGAGCAGCAGTGTGAGTAGTGGTGAGCGGCAGTGTGAGTAGTGGTGAGCGGCAGTGTGAGTAGTGGTGAGCGGCAGTGTGAGTAGTGGTGAGCAGCAGCTGTGAGTAGTGGTGAGCGGCAGTGTGAGTAGTGGTGAGCAGCAGCTGTGAGTAGTGGTGAGCGGCAGTGTGAGTAGTGGTGAGCGGCAGTGTGAGTAGTGGTGAGCAGCTGTGAGTAGTGGTGAGCGGCAGTGTGAGTAGTGGTGAGCGGCAGTGTGAGTAGTGGTGAGCGGCAGTGTGAGTAGTGGTGAGCAGCAGCTGTGAGTAGTGGTGAGCAGCTGTGAGTAGTGGTGAGCGCAGTGTGAGTAGTGGTGAGCAGCTGTGAGTAGTGGTGAGCGGCAGTGTGAGTAGTGGTGAGCAGCTGTGAGTAGTGGTGAGCGGCAGTGTGAGTAGTGGTGAGCGGCAGTGTGAGTAGTGGTGAGCGGCAGTGTGAGTAGTGGTGAGCAGCAGCTGTGAGTAGTGGTGAGCAGCTGTGAGTAGTGGTGAGCGGCAGTGTGAGTAGTGGTGAGCAGCTGTGAGTAGTGGTGAGCGGCAGTGTGAGTAGTGGTGAGCAGCTGTGAGTAGTGGTGAGCGGCAGTGTGAGTAGTGGTGAGCAGCTGTGAGTAGTGGTGAGCAGCAGTGTGAGTAGTGGTGAGCGGCAGTGTGAGTAGTGGTGAGCAGCAGCTGTGAGTAGTGGTGAGCAGCTGTGTGAGTAGTGGTGAGCAGCAGTGTGAGTAGTGGTGAGCGGCAGTGTGAGTAGTGGTGAGCGGCAGTGAGTAGTGGTGAGCAGCAGCTGTGAGTAGTGGTGAGCGGCAGTGTGAGTAGTGGTGAGCGGCAGTGTGAGTAGTGGTGAGCGGCAGTGTGAGTAGTGGTGAGCAGCTGTGAGTAGTGGTGAGCAGCAGCTGTGAGTAGTGGTGAGCAGCTGTGAGTAGTGGTGAGCGGCAGTGTGAGTAGTGGTGAGCGGCAGTGTGAGTAGTGGTGAGCGGCAGTGTGAGTAGTGGTGAGCAGCAGTGTGAGTAGTGGTGAGCAGCAGTGTGAGTAGTGGTGAGCAGCTGTGAGTACTGGTGAGCAGCAGTGTGAGTAGTGGTGAGCAGCAGTGTGAGTAGTGGTGAGCAGCAGTGTGAGTAGTGGTGAGCAGCAGCTGTGAGTAGTGGTGAGCGGCAGTGTGAGTAGTGGTGAGCGGCAGTGTGAGTAGTGGTGAGCGGCAGTGTGAGTAGTGGTGAGCAGCTGTGTGAGTAGTGGTGAGCGGCAGTGTGAGTAGTGGTGAGCGGCAGTGTGAGTAGTGGTGAGCGGCAGTGTGAGTAGTGGTGAGCGGCAGTGTGAGTAGTGGTGAGCGGCAGTGTGAGTAGTGGTGAGCAGCAGTGTGAGTAGTGGTGAGCGGCAGTGTGAGTAGTGGTGAGCGGCAGTGTGAGTAGTGGTGAGCAGCAGCTGTGAGTAGTGGTGAGCGGCAGTGTGAGTAGTGGTGAGCAGCAGCTGTGAGTAGTGGTGAGCAGCAGCTGTGAGTAGTGGTGAGCGGCAGTGTGAGTACTGGTGAGCAGCTGTGAGTAGTGGTGAGCAGCAGCTGTGAGTAGTGGTGAGCAGCTGTGAGTAGTGGTGAGCGGCAGTGTGAGTAGTGGTGAGCGGCAGTGTGAGTAGTGGTGAGCAGCTGTGAGTAGTGGTGAGCGGCAGTGTGAGTAGTGGTGAGCAGCAGCTGTGAGTAGTGGTGAGCGGCAGTGTGAGTAGTGGTGAGCAGCAGCTGTGAGTAGTGGTGAGCAGCAGCTGTGAGTAGTGGTGAGCGGCAGTGTGAGTACTGGTGAGCAGCTGTGAGTAGTGGTGAGCAGCAGCTGTGAGTAGTGGTGAGCAGCTGTGAGTAGTGGTGAGCGGCAGTGTGAGTAGTGGTGAGCAGCTGTGTGAGTAGTGGTGAGCAGCAGCTGTGAGTAGTGGTGAGCGGCAGTGTGAGTAGTGGTGAGCAGCAGTGTGAGTAGTGGTGAGCGGCAGTGTGAGTAGTGGTGAGCGGCAGTGTGAGTAGTGGTGAGCAGCAGTGTGAGTAGTGGTGAGCAGCTGTGAGTAGTGGTGAGCGGCAGTGTGAGTAGTGGTGAGCGGCAGCTGTGAGTAGTGGTGAGCAGCAGCTGTGAGTACTGGTGAGCGGCAGTGTGAGTAGTGGTGAGCGGCAGTGTGAGTAGTGGTGAGCGGCAGTGTGAGTAGTGGTGAGCGGCAGTGTGAGTAGTGGTGAGCAGCTGTGTGAGTACTGGTGAGCGGCAGTGTGAGTAGTGGTGAGCAGCTGTGAGTACTGGTGAGCGGCAGTGTGAGCGGCAGTGTGAGTAGCGAGGGGGAGACACTCACGGACTCGAACCCGCTTGGCATCCAGAACGGCGACGGCCGTGCCGAGCGCGAGCACGCGGGCCGCCAGGAGCCCCGCGCGGCCCCCCACGGCGCTCGCCTCCTCCTCGAGCCCCGCCAGCACCCCCTCGGCGTGCCGGCTCAGCTCTCCCAGTTGCCGCAGCAGCCCCACCAGACCCCGGTTCGCTCCGTCCCGCAGCTCCACGCCATGGCGAAGGGGAAGCGCCGCTTCGTCTCCCGCGCGGCGACCCAGGTGGCGCGGCTCGACCACGCGGCTGTAGAAGGGCATCGTCGAGACCGCGGCCACTTCACTGCAGCGCGTCCCGACGGCCACTTGTAGCACTCGCCACCGCCATGTTCCACTCTCCCAGCCCCGGGGAAACGAGGCGAGACCCCTCTCCTTCTTGTTCTCCTCCTCTTCTCTCCCCTCCCCCTACCTCCAGCCAGCAGCAGCAGCCCTCATCCCGCCGCCGCGTCACCCTCCCCCACCGCGTCCCCCACGCGCCGCCTCCACTCACTCCTCCCCCACACCTCCCACTCACTCACAGGTGAGGCTCTCAACTTCCTCCCTCACTCCCATCAACTCTCCCCTACCCCCCACTCACCCTCGTCTCTGCCTCTCCCACCCACACTCCCTCACTCCTCCCCCACACCTCCCACTCACTCACAGGTGAGGCTCTCAACTTCCTCACTCCCATCAACTCTCCCCTACCCCCCACTCACCCTCGTCTCTGCCTCTCCCACCCACACTCTCTCGCACTCCTCCCCCACACCTCCCACTCACTCACAGGTGAGGCTCTCAACTTCCTCCCTCACTCCCATCAACTCTCCCCTACCCCCCACTCACCCTTGTCTCTGCCTCTCCCACCCACACTCTCTCACTCCTCCCCCACACCTCCCTCCCACTCACAGGTGAGGCTCTCAACTTCCTCCCTCACTCCCATCAACTCTCCCCTACTCCCCACTCACCCTCGTCTCTGCCTCTCCCCCCACACATTCTCTCACTCCCCCCCCCCACCTCCCTCCCACTCACAGGTGAGGCTCTCAACTTCCTCCCTCACTCCCATCAACTCTCCCCTACCCCCCACTCACCCTCGTCTCTGCCTCTCCCCCCCACACTCTCTCACTCCCCCCCCCACACCTCCCTCCCACTCACAGGTGAGGCTCTCAACTTCCTCCCTCACTCGCATCAACTCTCCCCTACCCCCCACTCACCCTTGTCTCTGCCTCTCCCACCCACACTCTCTCACTCCTCCCCCACACCTCCCTCCCACTCACAGGTGAGGCTCTCAACTTCCTCCCTCACTCCCATCAACTCTCCCCTACTCCCCACTCACCCTCGTCTCTGCCTCTCCCCCCCACACTCTCTCACTCCCCCCCCCCCACCTCCCTCCCACTCACAGGTGAGGCTCTCAACTTCCTCCCTCACTCCCATCAACTATCCCCTACCCCCCACTCACCCTCGTCTCTGCCTCTCCCCCCCACACTCTCTCACTCCCCCCCACACCTCCCTCCCACTCACAGGTGAGGCTCTCAACTTCCTCCCTCACTCCCATCAACTCTCCCCTACCCCCCACTCACCCTTGTCTCTGCCTCTTCCACCCACACTCTCTCACTCCTCCCCCACACCTCCCTCCCACACACAGGTGAGGCTCTCAACTTCCTCCCTCACTCCCATCAACTCTCCCCTACCCCCCACTCACCCTCGTCTCTGCCTCTCCCACCCACACTCTCTCGCACTCCTCCCCCACACCTCCCTCCCACTCACAGGTGAGGCTCTCAACTTCCTCCCTCACTCCCATCAACTCTCCCCTACCCCCCACTCACCCTCGTCTCTGCCTCTCCCCCCCCCACACTCTCTCGCACTCCTCCCCCACACCTCCCTCCCACTCACAGGTGAGGCTCTCAACTTCCTCCCTCACTCCCATCAACTCTCCCCTACCCCCCCACTCACCCTCGTCTCTGCCTCTCCCTTCCACACCCCCCCCACACCTCCCTCCCAGTCACAGGTGAGGCTCTCAACTTCCTCCCTCACTCCCATCAACTCTCCCCTACCCCCCACTCACACTCTCTCGCACTCCTCCGCCCAGCTCCCTCACAACAGCCACCGGCTCTCCACAAAGTCGTCACTACGGCGCTTGTGCCACGCAAGGTGCACATCGAAGCCACGCGGGAAACTCGTTGGCAAGCGGTCACGGGACAGACCCTAGTGCCAATCCACGAAAGTAATGTTCTGAAACAACTGTCCTACCTCAAAGGGTCCTCCTCCACCGGAGCAGATAGTATTCCCGTCTTTGCTCTACTAACTGTTGGTCATCTAATATACAAACCTATAGCCCATATTTTCAACCTGTCCATCAAAGAAGCATCAGTTCCTCTAGAATGGAAACATTCCTATGTGGTGTGGCCGAAACCTCGTGAGAATTGTATTGTCTTATTTTGTTTTATTGTTTTATTCTCATTCTATGTGACTTTACCGAAAGAACCAAGAAGATGAATCATTGCAGTCACGAGAGCTTTAAATCGAAATTCCTGTCCGTCCACTTCACAAAGGGGGCCCTAAAGATGATCCAAATAACTACCGACCTATCTCAATTTTGTCCCCGTTGATGAAATTTTTTTTAAATTATTGACCTACCAAATTAGCAGTTTCCTGTCCACCAACAATCTACTACATCTAAATTTTAGATTCTAAAACAATCTGGGTTCCGAAAAAAATACAGCACCACATCTGCTGCATTAGACTCTGAATCACATTTACAGTAGCCTTAATAATAAGCAGTACTGTGCCTGTCTTTTTCTAGACCTGGGCAAAGCTTTTAATACAGTAGACCACAACACCCTGCTTAGTAAACTCAGTTGCCTCGGTTTTTCCGAAAACGCAGTAAAATGGTTACAAAAATTACCTCTTTTCTCGCACCCAAACTGGATTCACAGATGGTTGGAGATCAAACAGTGTTAAGATAACAAAAGGGGTTCCACAGGGTTCCATCCTCGGCCCCTTTTTGTTCTCTCTTCATGTCAATGACTTGGGCACTGACCTGGATCATTCCAGGGTAAATCTTTTTGCAGATGACACGATACTAATTATGATTGCTAAGCTACAGGGTGATTTCAACAAACTACAACATCAGCTAGTTGCTTTTAAACTAGTCCTGAATACCTCCAAAACCAAGGTGCTATGCTTCTCACCAGGACTAAAGCAGGAAGTTATTTTCCCCAATTATATTCCTTAAATAATTATTAAATAGAGCAAGTCAAAATCTATAAGTATATTGGGGTCATCCTGGATTCAAAACTGAATTTTGAAGATCACATTGATTATACTGGTAAAACGACAAAAATAAAAATTGTTTTTCTGTATCGACACAAGCACTGCTTCCCCCCAATGTTCCGTTTATAATTGGGAAAAGCTACCATACTGCCTCTACTTGACTACTGTGACATCGTGTATAAATCAGCCCCAAGTACTGTACTGAAGAAGCTTGATTCCATCTATCACTCGGCCTTAAGATTTACATTGAACTGCCCATATAGGACTCACCACTGTGATCTCTACATTGGGTCAAACTTAACATCTCTTAATGTTCGACGGCTTGTGCACCAGATCTTATTTATTCACGATGTACTTACAAAAAAATCGGCAGACTACCTGCTGGATCTCCTCTCTGTTTCAAAGAACAAATTTGACCTCGGGTCTTCGCTCATTTATCAGCTTCAACATTCCCTATTGCCATACAAAAACTGGAGGAAGGGCCTTTGCTATTGATGCCCCCAGGGGTCTGGAATGCTATTGCCAATAAACTGCAACTTGAATCGCTACCAATGAGATCTTCTCTCAAAACTGCTCTAGAGGAGTTGTACACCCCTAGCTGCCACTGCTATTAATTGGCATAAAATAAAATAAAAATTTCGCTCCGGATGACGCTGCAAAGTATTATCTGTATTTTGATTTAGCGTGCTGATCTTAAAGGTGCATTGAAAAATTTGATACTCCGACTGATGCTTCTGTTGTTGTGGAGTAACTCATGCAGCCAGCTATGGCTCTAGGTTTTGGTGTTACATGTTATTTATTTAGTTTATTGTAAAAATTCGGTCACAGTCCCTGTGATCACTATTACGTTGCAATTATGGCTTTATTTTTTGGTGATTTCGAAAACGTTTTTTGGTTTGGACATGTTTGTTTTGTTGTAGTACAGAGTTAGACTGATGGCCTTAATCTAAGTTTTCTTGTGGTTGTTGTTGTTGTTTGACTTGCATCCCACTGGGATTTTTTTTGCACACAGCGTTGGTGTACGGTGATTTTTTCAGGAATATTTTGCTGTTTTTTTTCATGGATTTTCTGTTTGCACAGTCACATAGTCACTTTAAGATGTTTTTCTTGTTCGTGTTTTTTTGTTTGTTGTGGTTGCACCCGATTCAAGAACCGAATGGCTCACAGGACTATACCAAAATAAATAAACTGAAAAAAACTGATAAAAAACTGTGATAACTGAGGAACAACCACCTGTGCCCCCTACTGTGCCAACGAGCTCGTTGTTGTGAGCGTCACTCCTCCGCCCTCCGCTGTTGTTCGAGGGGCGACTGCCTCCAGCTGCCCAGTGGCCTCCTTCACGAACACCCTCCAGAGGCCGATCTTGACACCGCTGGTACTGTACCAGACTTCGGAAAGGCCACTCAGCTCCACATTCTTCTGCACCCCATCTAACCTACGCCGTGGCCATTTCGCCCACTCTATCCAGCAAGACATAAACTGATTGGACATGCGGTAGCTGGGCATACGGGCTAAATGACCTTGCTAACGCAGCCTCGCCTGCACAATAGTCTGGTCAAACCCAGGACAGATCGCAGACAGGCTGGCCTGAATGTTTCAAACCAGTGCAGATGTTCCTTTACCATGACTGGACGTTTCCCAAGCATCGAGAAAAGCCATAGCTTTATTTGGAGCGGCAGCGCCATGTAGGTTCAGCACAGCGTTACGTAGCTGATTTAAAAACAAGGCCGTTTGACTGGTTCCTCCACTCCACAAAAGGCCGCTCAACAAAGACATCCAACATGACCCCACTGACCTATCTCGGAGTAAAACTGGACCTCACGCCAACCTTCCATGTCCACCTTTAAGAAGGCAGCGGCGAAGACAAGGGACATCCTGGTCCAGAAACTGGACTGTGGTCATTTCCAGAGAAAACCTGAGGACAAGTAACGACTCAACGCCCGATTCACTCCGCTACGCCTGACGCAATCATCTGGCTCAACCACCTCGATTTTAAATCATAGTTATTGTTCTACATCAACATTAGTCATGTGTCGGCGATGGGTCAAGTGCAGTTGGGAGGGAGTTACCCCTACAGTTTGTACTGCATGTTGAACTTTTTTCGCACTGTACATAGCCAACCGTGATAATCAGAAATAAGTTTAACACGTCGGCTTTCGCGACCAATATTCATAATAGAGGGCCTTTAGGGTTAGATCGTGTGAATATAAACGTGTCGTTAAACCTACCACCGCCATACAAAGCCAATTAGTGAGGTTTGTCACGTAAACAAAACATACCAATTCGTTACTAGTTCAGCACGCCGGTGTGTTGTGCGTTCTCGAATTGAAAATGTTGTGGGTTTACTCTCCAACACACACCGGTGTGTTGGACGAGTAACGAATTGTCATGTTTTGTTTACGTGACAAACCTTACTAATTGTCTTTGTCGGGTGGTGGCGGGTTTAACGAAATAAGCTCTCAGTGGCTTCCTGATATTGGAAGGAAGAACGTTCCAGACGGCTGCAGAAGCGCATCTGAAAGCGCGTGATGCACTGTAGTCCATGGGTCTGTGTGTGATGAGTCTATGGGTCTGTGTGAGTTTATGGGTCTCTATGTATGTATGTTTGTTGAACTTCTTTCCCACCGTACGTAGCCAACCGCGCTCATCAAGAAAGTCGTTCCAAATAAACGAGTTTGTCAATCTAGATGGTTTATAAAGTGCATAGCTCCCAGTGGCTTCCTGATAACGGAAGAACGTTCCAGACGGCCTTAGAAGCAGCGCGCGATGCAGTGACCGTCTTTGTTCGATGGCTTCCCCACAAAGACTCCCTTACTCCAGGGGGTTTTTGAGGGCCAGACTTTTAGACCCTCTGATTCACGTTTTGTCTGTTTTTTTTCTTCTGCGATGCGGTTGTTTTTAACGCTCATTTTTATTTGCTCCATCGTGATATTCCTGTATTATTGTTACCGCTATTTGCCATCAAGGAGCGTCCAACTCTTGCAAACGAAGAAGACTTCACCCCTCAGGGGCCCTCGCGGAGGCAATGCGTGAGGGTGGCCACCAGGCGGCGTGTGCCGGGGCGACGGCTCCGCGGTTGTGAGGCGCAGCAGGGCGGAGGAGGAAGAAGAACGCCGTGAGAGAGGCGAGCGCCGAGCGAGGAGCGCGTGAGAGGGAGAGGGGAGCGTGAGAGAGAGAGAGAGAGGTGGGAGCGTGAGAGAGAGAGAGAGAGGTGGGAGCGTGAGAGAGAGAGAGAGGTGGGAGCGTGAGAGAGAGAGAGGTGGGAGCGTGAGGGGAGCGTGAGAGAGAGAGGGGAGCGTGAGAGAGAGAGGGGAGCGTGAGAGAGAGAGGGGAGCGTGAGAGAGGTGGGAGCGTGAGAGAGAGGGGCGCGTGAGAAAGAGAGGTGGGAGCGTGAGAGAGAGAGGTAGGGGAGCGTGAGAGAGAGGTAGGGGAGCGTGAGAGAGAGGTAGGGGAGCGTGAGAGAGAGAGGTGGGAGCGTTAGAGAGAGGTGGGAGCGTGAGAGAGAGAGGTGGGAGCGTGAGGGGAGCGTGAGAGAGAGAGGGGAGCGTGAGAGAGGTGGGAGCGTGAGAGAGAGAGGTGGGAGCGTGAGAGAGAGAGGTGGGAGCGTGAGAGAGAGAGGTGGGAGCGTGAGAGAGAGAGAGGTGGGAGCGTGAGAGAGAGGTGGGAGCGTGAGAGAGAGAGGGGGGAGAGGTACGGTGATGAGAGGGCTGGGGGAGATTGCGCAGAGGGTTAGTGAGAGACAGCGTTGCCCGGGCCCTTGGGCAGCGCAGAGCCGAGGCCTCTGTCCCAGCCTGGGCTAGGCCTATGGGGCTCTCACGGCGCCGATAGGGGCCCAACAGGGGTCTCGTTGGGGACTGAGACCCGAGAGGGGCCCGGGATCCAGGTTGCAGGGACCCAGGACCCCGGGCGAGGTGAACCCTCAGCCTGAGAGTTGAGAGGATCCACAGTGGCCGGGTTAAGGAGAGGTGTGAGCTCGGACTCGGATGGAGTAGTGTTTGGGTTACTCACCAGCTCTCACCCATCACCTTACACTCACCACCGAGGTACACCCCTCACCACACACTCACAGCCCACAACTCGGACACCTTCCACGACGAGGCCCAGCGGGAGCGCCTTCGCCGCGTTTACAGCAGTCTGCGGTGTAATTGCGTGAGCCGTCCTGGTTAATACTGCCGGTGTAATAACCATAATATATACAGGTAGACCCCACTCACCTCACCCCACTCCCCTCACCCCACTCCCTCCCCTGTCCTCTCCTCACCTCTCACCCATTCCCCTCACCTCTCCTCACCCCACTCACCTCACACCACTCACCTCACCCCCCACTCCTCACCTCCCACTCCCTCCCCTGTCCTCTCGTCACCTCTCACCCCTCACCCATTCCCCTCACCCCTCACCCATTCCCCTCACCCCTCACCCATTCCCCTCACCCCTCACCCATTTCCCTCACCCATTCCCCTCACCCCTCACCCATTCCCCTCACCCCTCACCCATTCCCCTCACCCATTCCCCTCACCCCTCACCCATTCACCTCACCCCATTCACCTCACCCCACTCACCTCACCCCATTCACCTCACCCCACTCCCTCCCCTGTCCTCTCCTCACCTCTCACCCATTCCCCTAACCTCACCCCCCTCACCCGTGGTGTGCATGGTGAAGACCAATGGAGGATCGTAAGAAACGAAGGAGCCCCAAGTCGTCGTTCTCGGGCGGCGCTCAGCCCGGACCCCACCAGAACCCCGGCGCGGCCCCCACGCCCGCGGCCCGCGGCGCCGCCACCGCCGCCGCCGCCGTCACGGGCAGCAAGAGCGCCACGTTCAGCGGCAGCAGCCCGCCCGGCACCGCCATCTCCCCCAGGCACCCCGCCAAGCCCAAGGGGTGAGTGGGGGACTCTGGCCAACCCTGAGTACCCGCACAATCTCGACACACACACTCACTCACTGTACACACTATACACACTCACTATACACACTGCACACACTCACTATGCACACTCACTATACCCACTATACATACTCACTATACACACTCACTCACTATACACACTGCACACACTCACTATACACACTACACACACACTATACATACTCACTATACACACTCACTATACACACTGCACACACTCACTATACACACTCACTCACTATACACACACTACACACACACTCACTATACACACTCACTCACTATACATACTATACACACACTACACACACACTCACTATACACACTCACTATTCACACTATACACACTATACATACTCACTATACACACTCACTATACACACACTATACATACTCACTATACACACTATACACACTACACACACTACTCACTATACACACACTATACACACTACACACACACTATACACACTCACTCACTATACTCACTATACACACTATACATACTCACTATACACACTATACATACTATACACACTACACACTATACACTCACTATACACACTACACACACTCACTATCCACACTATACATACTCACTATACACACTACACACACACTATACATACTCACTATACACACTACACACACTATACACACTGCACACACTCAATATACACACTCACTCACTATACACACTGCACACACTCACTATACACACTCACTATACACACTGCACACACTCACTATACACACTATACACACACTATACATACTCACTCACTATACACACTCAATCACTATACACACTGCACACACACACTATATATACTCACTCACTATACACACACTACACACACACTCACTACACACACTATACATACTAACTCACTATACACACTATACACACACTACACACACACTCACTATACACACTCACTCACTATACACACTATACACACACTATACATACTCACTATACACACTATACACACACACTATACATACTCACTCACTATACACACTACACACAATATACACACTACACACACTCACTATACACACTCACTCACTATACACACACTATACATACTCACTATACACACTCACTCACTATACACACTATACATACTCGCTATACACACTACACACACTATACATACTCACTCACTATACACACTCACTCACTATACACACTGCACACACTCACTATACACACTCACTCACTATACATACTATACACACACTATACATACTCACTATACACACTAGACACGCACTACACACACTCACTCACTATACACACTCACTCACTACACACACTATACATACTCACTATACACACACTACACACACACTCACTATACACACTCACTCACTATACACACTATACACACACTATACATAGGCACTCACTATACAAACTCACTCACTATACACACACTATACATACTCACTATACACACTACACTCACACTATACATACTCAATATACACACTACACACACTATACATACTATACACACTACACACTCACTATACACACTATACACACACACTATACATACTCACTCACTATACACACTATACATACTCAGTATACACACTCACTATACACACGCTATACATACTACACACTATACACCCACTATACATACTCAGTATACACACTCACTCACTATACACACGATACACACACTAAACATACTCACTCACTATACACACTACACACACTATACATACTCACTATACACACTCACTCACTATACACACTTTACACAAACTATACATACTACACGCACTATACATACTATACACACTACACACAATACACACTCACTCACTATACACACACTATTCATACTCACTCACTATACTCACTCACTATACACACTATACAAACACTCTACACACTCACTCACTATACACACTATACACACACTATAATACTCACTATACACACTCACTCACTATACACACTATACATTCTCACTCACTATACACACTCACTCACTATACACACTATACACACACTACACACACACTCACTCACTATACACACTCACTCACTATACACACTATACACACACTATACATACTCACTCACTAGACACACTATACACACACTATACAGTGAGAGAAAAAAGTATTTTATCCCTTGCTGATTATGTACGTTTGCACACTGACAAAGAAATAATCAGTCTATAATTTTAATGGTAGGTTTATTTGAACAGTGAGAGACAGAATGACCATAAAAAAATCCAGAAAGACGCATGTCAACAATATTATAAATTGATTTGCATTTTAATGAGGGAAATAAGTATTTGACCCCCTCTCAATCAGAAAGATTTCTGGCTCCCAGGTGTCTCTTATACAGGTAACGAGCTGAGATTAGGCACACACTCTTAAAGGGAGTGCTCCTAATCTCAGCTTGTTACCTGTGTAGTGTTGTAAGGACGAGCAGACTTCTTTAGGAGGCACACTCTGTTTATTGTATTATTTCCTTATACAACGCTTAACACACACAGAGGGATATTCGGTCCCCTCACCCGATACCCTAGGGAGGACAGCCTCCGGACCTGGCGGGACTCTCACGTCTACCGCTAACCTCCTTGATACCTAAGGAGGTACAACCTCCGGACTTGGCGGGACTCACACGTCTACCGCTATCCTAGTCCTCCGGCTAGGACCTAGGGGAGGCTATCTGACCCACCGCTGGCCCGGTGGGTCCTGACCACTGGGTATGCCGAGCCTTAGCCCTTAGAAGGGCTGGAAGGCTGGTCCAGGGTCCTAGCTAGGCTTCAGCCCAGTCTTCTATCTTCTTGCAGGGAGAGAACTCCCCGAGGTCCGTTGGGTCACCCGTCTTATACCCCTTCGTGGCCAGGTAGAACCAATCATACATTCCCACGTGGAACCGTCTGATTGGTTCGCACCAAACCCTGGCCACGATCCGTTTCACCTCGACTGACCCCAACCGTTGTACCCAGGGGTAATGCTGCACTGCCCTGGTGGCATGCAGGTTACGCAACAGCGCGTAGTTAACACCTCTACATCTGTATAAAAGGCACCTGTCCACAGAAGCAATCAATCAATCAGATTCCAAACTCTCCACGATGGCCAAGACCAAAGAGCTCTCCAACGATGTCAGGGACAAGATTGTAGACCTACACAAGGCTGGAATGGGCTACAAGACCATTGCCAAGCAGCTTGGTAAGAAGGTGACAACAGTTGGTGCGATTATTCGCAAATGGAAGAAACACAAAAGAACTGTCAATCTCCCTCGGCCTGGAGCTCCATGCAAGATCTCACCTCGTGGAGTTGCAATGATCATGAGAGCTGCGAGGAATCAGCCCAGAGCTACACGGGAGGATCTTGTAAATGATCTCAAGGCAGCTGGGACCATAGTCACCAAGAAAACAATTGGTAACACACTACGCCGTGAAGGACTGAAATCCTGCAGCGCCCGCAAGGTCCCCCTGCTCAAGAAAGCACATATAAATGCCCGTTTGAATTTTTCCAATGAACATCTGAATGATTCAGAGGACAACTGGGTGAAAGTGTTGTGGTCAGATGAGACCAAAATGGAGCTCTTTGGCATCAACTCAACTCGCCGTGTTTGGAGGAGGAGGAATGCTGCCTATGACCCCAAGAATACCATCCCCACGTCAAACATGGAGGTGGAAACATTATGCTTTGGGGGTGTTTTTCTGCTAAGGGGACAGGACAACTTCACCACATCAAAGGGACGATGGACGGGGCCATGTATTGTCAAATCCTGGGTGAGAACCTCCTTCCCTCAGCCAGGGAATTGAAAATGGGTCGTGGATGGGTATTCCAGCATGACAATGACCCAAAACACATGGCCAAGGCAACAAAGGAGTGGCTCAAGAAGAAGCACTTTAAGGTCCTGGAGTGGCCTAGCCAGTCTCCAGACCTTAATCCCATAGAAAATATGTGGAGGGAGCTGAAGGTTCGAGTTGCCAAACATCTGCCTCGAAACCCTAATGACTTGGAGAAGATCTGCAAAAAGGAGTGGGACAAAATCCCTCCTGAGATATGTGCAAACCTGGTGGCCAACTACAAGAAACATCTGACCTCTGTGATTGCCAACAAGGGTTTTGCCACCAAGTACTAAGTGATGTTTTGCAGAGGGGTCAAATACTTATTTTCCTCATTAAAATGCAAATCAATTTATACAATTTTTGACATGCGTTTTTCCGGATTTTGTTGTTGTTATTCTGTCTCTCACTGTTCAAATAAACCTACCATTAAATTATAGACTGATCATTTCTTTGTCAGTGGCCAAACGTACAAAATCAGCAGGGGATCAAATATTTTGATCCCTCACTGTACACACTCACTCACTATACACACTACACACACACACACTATACATACTCACTCACTATACATACTACACACACACACTATACAGACTCACTCACTATACACACTACACACTATACACACTCACTATACACACTACAGACTATACACACTACACACTATGCACACACTATACATACTCACTATACACACTACACACTATACACACTGCACACACACTACACACACTATACACACTATACACACTCACTATACACACTACACACTATACACACACTATACATACTCACTATACACACTACACACTATACATACTATACACACAACACACACTATACACACTGCACACACTCACTATACACACTACACACTCACTCACTATACATACTGCAGACACTCACTATACACACTACACACAATACACACTCACTCACTATACACATAGTATTCATACTCACTCACTATACACACTCACTCACTATACACACTATACACACACTATACACACTCACTCACTATACACACTACACACACTATACATACTCACTATACACACTCACTCACTATACACACTATACACACACACTATACATTCTCACTCACTATACACACTCACTATACACACA